AGAAACTTACGTTTATCAAAACCGCCTTAACAAAAGGAAAAGTTCGACCCTGCTCGAACGACACCTATCGGCCCTCGGCCGCACATTAACAAAAGGTTAAGTTCAACCGAGCTCTAACAACACCTATTGACCCTCGGCCGCACATTGACAAAAAGGTTAAGTTAGACCAAGTTCGAACAACACCTATCGACCCTCGGTCACGATTTAATAAAAAAATGTTAAGTTTGACACAACTCGATTAATATCTGTCGGCCCTCGGCCACACCTTAACAAAAGGTTAAGTTCGAGCTAGCTCAAACAACACCTATCGGTCCTCAGCCGCACATTAACAAAAGCTTAAGTTTGACCGAGTTCGAACAACACCTATCGACCCTTGCCGCGATTTAATAAAAGGTTAAGTTCAACCGAGTTTGAATAACACCTATCGACCCTCGGTCGCAATTTAAGGAAATGTTAAGTTCGACCCAGCCCGAACAAACACCTACCAGACCTCGGCCACAACTTGGCAAAAGATCAAAATCAACCAAGCTCAAACAACACCTATTAGCCAAATCTAAGCGAAGAGACACACTCGACCTATATAAACAAAGGGCAGATATGGCCCATAAATATTCGTCCCCAAGGCTACGACTAACTAGAAGACGACGACAATAAAAAAAATAGAAATCATAATGAGAAAACAACAAAAAGAAAGTATACAAGTGCGGAAACAAGTGACAGTATGAAAGAAGGTGCAGAAAACAACTTAAATATTCATATATGAATAAAGAGTTCATTACAAGGGCTCTTGAAGACGCTGGCAAAAATACACAAAAAAGTCTATAGGGAAAACTACTGGCCCTCGCTATCATGACCCTCCGCACCCTCATCATCTCGATTCCCAGCATCCTCGCCATCCCCGCCTGAGGATAAACGGTATCATACCAGGCATCCTCCTCAAGCCAGTCTACGCCTTCTTCCCTATCTGACTCGTCAGATCGAGACGTGGCGGGATCATACCCACAAGCGATCCGAGCTTCACGAGCCTTAACCCAAGCATCCTCAAAAGCGGCCTTAGAAATAGAGCTCACTACATACAAGTCCCAAAACACATCTAACTGGGCCTCGACGTGGATCCATTCTTTGTACAACTCTCGAGGTACACTGGAAACTTAGAAGTGTTGGAAGAAGATGGTCGTGCAAGTAGTTGAGCCCTCTCAGCCTCCAGAGCGATCACTCGGTCATGAAGGTCGGAGCTCTCCTTTTCTAGCTCCCCGATACTCTCCTAGAGCTGATCCTCCTTAGCTTTAACCGTTGATTGGTCATTTTCCCGCTCGGCCCGAAGAGTCTTATTCGCCAACTTGAGGATCTTCGCTTTCCTCCGAGTGTCCAAACGAGAGGACTCTACCATCTCAAGTTCCTCCTATTTTTTGGTGATCTCTCCGCTTAGGGCTTCACCCTAAAACCGACACTCTTCAAGTTATCCTCGCAACTCAACCACATGGCTTGAAGATCACGGCATTGGGCCTCTACGCCCCTGCTAACCTCAAACTCCTCCTCTCTACTTCTTAACGTCCCTTCAAGGAAGCTGCATTTCTCTATGACCTGCACCAGCTCCTCATCCCTTTTCTTCAAATCTCCCCTTAGGGCCAGCACATCGCCGCTCTCTTGAAGCCGACTTCGGAGATCCTGATACTTGCTGCAGTACTCAGTGTATTTCCTTTTCATCTTCACAATGATTTCTTTGCGCCTTTTCTCCCTCCGGGCGCTTTCAATTTCCAGAATCAGCGTCTGCAAATAAAAGGGAAAATGTTAGAACTTAAAAGCGTTCTAAAGAGTTAGGAAAGGTTTGTACAACAATACTTACCTTGAGAGCGAGGCCAACAATGCTCTTCGACAGGGCAGTGTCATTTATCTCCTTGAGTGTTTTACCCTCAACATCGGAACAGAAAGGGCTGAGGGCTGGGACTACCTCCTCAGTGTTCACCAACAAGTCACGATCCATCGGGATCATGATAGTCCTCGAACCCCTCTCCAATCTCACCTAGATCTGGGTGAGCCCCTCGTCGATCATTCTTATGTAGTCTAACTTATCGCCCTCTTCAACAACATTCTTTTCCTCATCATCAGTAGGCAAAAAAGCGTCCATGGTTGTTCGAGAGGTTGAAGCCTCCTCATGCCGCTAAAGTTCATGGTCGCCAGTAGCCGCCTCCTTGTTCCCCCTCCCCTTGGAATGCAGAGACACGCCTACATTAACTTCAACTGGCCTCGGGTTCTCAAGACTCAGTTCAACATCATCATTCACAAAAATTGTCGTTGTCTCACGCAACGTAAATTCCCCTTCCACAGCATCAACGACTAGAGAGACTCCGTCAGCCACGTCCACAGACCTCCCTTTTCGAGGTTGAAGATCCCCGTTGCTGGGTGAATGTTCGTTGTCCTCATCAATAAGAGAAAATAGAGGAGGAGAAGAAGTCTCAACGGCCGAAATAGAGACGGAGGTAGAAGCAGCGACGACTGGAGTTGGGATGAAGGCAGGAGTGGCAATGGCCGAGGGAGGGGCTGAGACTGAAGGCGTAGTGGTCCTCCTCTTCCGGAACGAGGGTACGGGGGCCCTCGACCTCCTCGTGGACCCTCTGACCGGACCTAGAGAAAAATTAGAAGGAAGAAATCAACAAAAAGAACAGGCATAGACGACAGAACCACAACGTCGACAGTAGGGAAAAGATTACTTGCTGAGATAAGGGACGGCTTAAATTTCTGATAGAAACTCGGCCAGTCACGTATCCCCGCCGTATGAGGAAGGATCTATCTGACCCAAATGGCAATATGGGTCACCATCCGGAGAGGTCAAATAGTAGCTGCAGAAAAGGGAGAGCTGATTAACCAACCCACAACAAGAAAAATGCTAAACAAAAAAACACAAACGAACACAACACTTACGAGAGGGGTTCCATGCCTTAGGGAAGTCGGTGGCGGCAGACACTACGTCCTCGGTCTTGACAAAGAAATAGTCAAGCTAGAAACACCGACTAGCTTTGTCATCCATCCTCACCACCAAACGTTTCCCCCCGCGGTGGCGAATATTCAACAACGTCCCTCGATAGAAATGAGGGGCCAAGAGATGGATCAGGTGGCGTACTGTTATATCAACGTCGGCCAATTTCGTCAATATTTTGACCACCTTAGAGATGTAAGCGGCAAGCTGCGCTGAGTATACATTGTAGTAGCAGCATAACTCTTCTATCAACGGTGACAAAGGGAACTAATAGCCAATAATGAATGGATATGCGTAAAGGGCGCAAAATCCGGGACGATGAACCCGCACTTCATCATCACCCGCAGGGACCAACTCTACGTGACCAGGGAGGCCGAGCATAGCCTTAAATTTGGCTAATCATGCAACCATCATCGTAGATTTGAACCTCCGTCGCCACTTTCGGTGCCTTATGGAAGTTGGGTTTAGCATCGGAGTATCGAGGTACGATCTCCTCTACAGTCGGGAGGGTTTCCTCCTCAACGGCAACTCCGCCATCTTCCCTCTGATCAGGAAAAATGACATCTAGAGGAATAGAATGATCTTCCATGTGGATATATGATGGAAGGTCCGACATTGTTATGGAAAGAAATAAAGAAGCAGAGAAAACAAGAGAGAAGCGAAAAGGTTCTACGAAGGAGAAGGAGAAGTTATGCTTATAAAGTAGAAAGAATGTGGGAAAAGCTTCGAAATCAACAAACCATCCCCTATTTATAAGATTTGGGGGCACAAGAATCGAAACGACCTATCGTGATTAGCACGAAGATCGAAACGGCAGAACCAATCAAGGGTTAAACGAGAATCGACGCAATGCATTGGGAAATGGCGTCATCATGACGCATGACGTCACGACATCACTCTTTCTCTTGCACCAGATGGCTCCAATGAATTACCCGAGAAATTCAAGGAATTTGAAATACGCGGCTCGCAGAGAGCCACGTTGCCTGATCGTTACAATGACTACGACCTGTATATTCGACTCGATAGGCTCGATCACAAACGACAGTATCCGCTCATCGAACTCGGCCGCGAGGGCGAGCTCAACAAGCAGAGGAACTAATTGTATGGGCCAAAAAATATCTTTGATATAGGCAAGCCACATCAGTATCATGATAGCCTTCATCGGCCGCCACGTGTTATCAGTAAGAATTTCAATAAAGATCTGCCCCAGGTCAAAATGGTCTTATAGCGATGACAGGTGCGGTCGAAGAATCAGCGAAGATCAAGGACGTGAAGTCATCATAGATCAGGGTCGAGGTCGAGCATCTTAGAGAGAGTTATAACAGCTAGTTTTAAGATAGGAGACAAAAAAGAATATTCTAGTGGATATTCTCTGCACCTATACTATTTATAGGAATATGTTCCCTATAAATAGAAAAAGACACAATGATAGAGGACATGAGATATTCACTTGTAAGAAAACACATTGATTTTGTAGAGAGAATCTGGTCATATCACAAGCATATGAAAATAACTTTTTTACTAAGATTCTTGTCTAATTTTTTCACTTGATCCAAGACGAGAGTGTTCAAATGCTCATTAATCATGCATCATTGTAAGAAAGAATATCCACAGATTTTACCCTTTTTCGGGTGACTCACACGTTTTTATTTACCTAAATGTCATTCATTGATACTTATTATATTATTTAATGCTATCTTCCACCTTTTAGGATCATTAAATATTGTTATTATTGCTCACATTTATTATCATTCGATCAAATATACATATTATCTGTCATAAAATCGATAACGTTGTCTTTTGGATATTACTATTAGCTAAGATTGATTTCATTTTATTTAAATATAATTGGTTGAATCCATATCTAAATTTTGGGTCAAACAATTTTTTCCTTTTATTAATCGCATTACCAACAACCACATAAAAAGCTATACAAATAATACTATTGTTTGAAGGGGCATAATGGTAAAAAAAAAATAAAAGTGCGCACTATAATATTACCATCTCGTTAAAAGCCCCCCACGGAGGAGCTAAGTAGTATTCTTCCAAAGAGAAACAAATCAAACGCTTGGCTTAACTCATTCAATCTTTTCTTCACATCTCTTCTCTGCTCCAATACCTTCCTTCCTCTGCTTTATTCCCAAGAAAAGAAAAACAGAGACTTCCCGGTTCCTCATATCTCTCTTTCTTTCTGTAGTAATAATCCTTGTGTTCAATTGTTAACAAAGGGTGATGTTGATGGTGATCAGCAGCAGGTGCTCTCACACTTCCCACATCACCGAAATTATTATCACCAGCTTCTTTCGCCATAAGCTCTAGATCACTATTCTTTCACATCAATCCTTGTATTAAAGGGGTGGTAGTGATATCAGGAACCCCAGATACATAAAGGGAACACGCCCTATGGCTGTTTCTTGAATATTACAGCTTTGTAACATTATAGAATATATAGCTATGATGGCTCCAGGGATGCTCTACAGTGCTGGTGCTGGTGCTTGTGCTTCTAATTTCGATGGTGTTTTGATTCAGAAACAGAGGGTTATGTCTTCTTCTTCTTCTACTGCAAAAGAGCATCTTGGTTCTCTATTTGTCCCCGGCTGTTCTTCTTCTTACTTGGGTATGTGTATCTTCTACACTACTATTGTTGTTCTTTCTCAAGTAGCGTTGACTTTTTTTCCTCTTCTATATTTGTATTTTACATTATAAAAGTCACTGTGCCGGAACGATCACGTAGTTCTGTGTGCTTGATGAGTGCTGTGATTATATGTTAAAAGATGAATTCTTGCAGAAGAAGATGAATATCTGTATTTGGTGGAGTATTTTGGTATAAATTTGAATCTTAATTCTTCAAATGAATTTATGATAATTCCCTTGTAATATATAGAATTGAATCACTCTGTTGGGATAACTAGTTATATCATTTTTGGTGGTTGATCATGTGTGCGCCATTTGGTTGATTGGCTCTAAGTTTGGATCAGGTAAGGTAGATGATAACACATCAATTTATGAAATTGAATTCTTATAGCAAATTTTAATGGGAAGAAGGAAAAGAAGTGCAATGAGTAGTATACAGAAATTACAGCTGTTTTTAAAATTTCAGACTATCTAATGGATGAATTTTGTCAAGATTGACACCATCGTAGTAATCTATTCTATGGCCATTTTATCATTCAGGATCTAGTTCTATGGTCAGTTTCGGCAGTGTTAATGGAGGGAAGAGGTCATTCTTTGACTCATTCGATCAAGAAGAGAATGAAGCAGATGAATTGGGAGAGTATTTTCATCAAGCAGAAAAGAAGAGGCGGCTTACAGAAAACCAAGTTCAGTTTCTTGAGAAGAGTTTTGGGGAAGAGAACAAACTGGAACCAGAAAGAAAAGTCCAGCTTGCTAAAGAACTTGGTCTGCAGCCTCGCCAAATTGCAATATGGTTTCAGAATCGTCGCGCACGATGGAAGACTAAACAGCTCGAGAAAGAATATGAAGCATTAAGGAATCAATATGACAATCTGAAATCAGATTACAATAATCTCCTCAAGGAAAAGGAAAATCTTAGAGCTGAGGTAATGAGCTTTACAATTTTTAAGTTACAAGTTTTATTTTATTTGCAGCATAAGGATAAATGTAATTTCCATTTTTCGAGCTCGTGGACAATGCTCTAACTACGTGATGGTTCAATCCTTATTCAGGTTTTCCAGCTCAACGATAAGCTGCTTCTCAATGAGAAAGAAAATGGGCAATTGACTCAACGCGACTTCCAGAAACACTCCGATTCATCGCCAAAAGAAACCATGGCTGATCCTATTTCAAGGGTTAAAATGTCCAATGTGTCAGCTCGGGTTCTTAAGGAAGATCTAAGCTCTGCTAAGAGTGATGTCTTAGGATCAGAAAGCCCACATTACACTGATGGGGTGCATTCCTCTTTCGTAAAGCAAGGTGATTCTTATGTAGTTGAACCTGAACCGTCAGATTTATCTCAAGATGATGAAGAGAACTTCAACAAGACAATGCTCTCTACTGCCAACTTGCTTGCAAAAGCCGAGGATGATGATTATCGCGTGACATCCTCAAATGTGAGCTACTTTGGATTTCCAGTCGAAGACCAAGGTTTTGGTTTCTGGTCCTATTGAGTTCATGGTTGTATGTAGTAATGAGGAAAAGTACTACTACTATTTTATGTCTAGTAATGTGTCTTAGTTGTGTATATTTGGAGACAGTCCATGGCAGTATATTTTCTGTAATAAATAAATTCCTATTGTATGGGACCAGAATCCAAATGAGGTGATGGGTTCTGGTCACAGAACAGTTGGGAACTATGGTTATTGCGCTTAATCTCCCTTTGCTTTGTATCTTTCTTTTTGGATTTCATGTTATTCCTATTTATCGTATTATTATTGTTGTGATACTAATATTATCTTCCTTTTTGTCCTTTTGTCTTTTTGTTTTTTGAGCCGAGTGTCTTTCGAAAACAGCCTCTCTACTCCTTCGGGGTAGGGTTAAGGTCTGCGTACACACTACCCTCCCTAAACCCCATTAGTGGGATTTTACTGGGTTGTTATTGTTGTTTGGTATATGTAGCTGGTGCTTCATGTTGTTCAATCATCAATGCCACTTGTGAAATCTGACTTTCCTTTGTCAACTATGAGATGAGTTTCTGATATTCCAAAATGGGAGACATTATTTTGACATAAGGAGTGATCACGATTCAATTATACCATAACCAATTCCACAAACATGCAACAGAAGATGATGGTTCAGTGCTACTAAGAATATATTTTGTTTCTCAATTCCTTTTTCTTTTTCTGTTTTTGTTTTCTGTTTTCTATGTGCTGCAATTTTTTTGTTTAAGTACCTGTCAGTAGAATGAAACAAGGAGGATCAGTGGGCAAGTGCGATGACACATCAAACATCAGCAGTTTGGTGGATATTACTGCTGTCAAATATCTTTATAATAGTTTCGTTTATTTCGATATTTTTTGTTTGTTATAGTGAAGTATTGTTATAGATGACATATATTATATATATAATATAAAAATTAGTACATAGAGAAACTTGATTTTTATAGTAAATGATTATTATATAATGATAATATTATAAAAAGGTAAGTTTACTCGTGAGAGGAGATTGATCAAAGGCAAATTTGTCAAACGGTAGGGTCCCAATTCGTGAAATCTGAAAGGATCAATGTCCTTTGGATCTTAGCACATTAATATACCCAGCTTGTCCTATTTATTCAACAAAATAGACTGATGTTTTTGGACAGACTTCCCGAATAATGAACCTTTGGTATACAGAAAAGCTATACCTCTACCTAGTCGAACAGACAAAAACTGTTTCACCACAAAGAATACAAAGGAAGAGTTTTTAATGCTGGACTTTAAAACATATATATCTTGCGGAAACACAAGTACGCAGTACGCTTGGTTGGTTAGCTGTCTTAATATAAATAAACTTGTACATCGGTGTATTCCTATTAACAACAACAACTATTATTACTATACTTCAATCTCAAACAAGTTGGGATCATGTATATGAATTATCACCGATCACATTATTCTATTTAAGCTCATCTCATGCCAATAGTATGTAAATACGCTATTCCAACGATCCTATTAACAAGAACAAAAAAGACTTTGGCAGAATTTGAAGTAAAAGTTGATAATGCTTACCATTTAATAATAAATGAACTCTAAAATATTGCAAACACTTTTTAAGGAATGCTAAGCTAAGCAAGTATGACAAATACTAGTATACTACCAAGTCATTTAGGAGAATTAAATTATTAGAATTTAATATTTAGAAAGTACAATGTTTGTACATAAATACTCCTAAAATATGTTTTTGATGAGTAGTTTATCATCTTTTTCTAAAGATACCTGAGTAGGTTTATCACCACAAGGTCAAGTTGAACTACGTAAACTGATCTATCACTTATAAATTAAATAAATTTGTGGCTAATAAGCACTTACCATAGGTAGAGTTGAGCTAAAGGGGGAGAAGTATTTTATTAGCTTAGTCTCTATTTATATTTTGCTTCTCCGATTTGAGTTCGAGTCACCCCAAAAGTAAGGTGGAGAGTTTTTGGAGAGAGGGAGCCGATGGTCTATCAGAAACAGCCTCTCTACCCCAGGGTAGGGGTAAGGTCTGCGTACACACTACCCTCCCCAGACCCCACTAATGAGATTATACTGAGTTGTTGTTGTTGTTGGGGTATCATAATAAACTCAAGAATATCAAAAAAAGAAATCCTTTTACCTTTGAACGTTGAAAAAGCCCTTAAGGTCTCTTTTGAACAAGCAAACAATTTTTCAAAAAGTTTCTTAAAATACTTAGAGTGGTGTTTGTTTAAATATTTGCAAAAGTATGAGTTTGCAAAAAGAAATATTTGTAAAAGTTGCTTGTTAAATAAAGTTTTTGCCAACAAAAAAGAAGGTATAAGAAAATCAATAAGTTTCTCAAATCCTGTAAAACTTAATACTAAACAAACACCAGTGAATTATCTGAACACGATCTTCTTTTAAGAAATTGTCAATAAATATTAAAATTATCCACAAAAGCCTTTTTATACGTGAGGGAAAATAATGAAGTGGCCGATTTCAAAAGCAACGCGTGTAAGAACTATTGGACTAAATATGTTATTTGCTTTAGGTAAAATTCGTACGATTTTTTTCAAAAACTCTCACGCTATTCAGAGATCTACTTTTTATAAGTAAATTTATAATCTTTTTAACTACTTAGCACTTTATTCGCACGCCCAACAAGAACAAAGCGGCCGACGTCGTTGTCAAGATGGTTGTAACTTGTAAGTAAAACGTGCTTAGCACAAAACCACTACATCAATCAACTTTCATGACAACTCTACCAGGCAGATTAAAGAAACTCCAATATGTGTCAATAGGTCCTTTCTAATTTGTATTTATGCCTTTTATGTGGCAATTGTCATTGATCTGTGGTGTCTGACCCTAATATTTGCTTATACTTGTATGGTCCAAAAGTACACTGGCCCCACGCTCGAAAGTTTGGACTCTTTACCTTTTCTTTTGGAGAAATTTCTTTTTTTTAAAATCTCTAGTGAACATTGTTTATACAGTTTTCCCATTACCGAACTCCATTTAGTATTGCTTGGAACATTAATGTTTAGAGATTTTTTAAACTTCCCGATTATTATAGTCCGACTCGATGCGCTGTGACAATTACTTAAGTATTTTTTTAACACATAACCTGCGTATAGCTTATATCATGTTCGTGAGGGCTGAAAAGTACATCAAGTCATCAAAATCTAGTGTATATAATTTATCTGTAGTGAAATTTTAAAATATACTCTTTTGTAGCATAAATTGCGTGATAGTTTAAACCTGATGTAAAGGAACTCATTGATTGTACTGCTATCACTTAGGTGCACAGTTGTCACTTAGACCATAGTTAGACTAATTAACTAGTATAATTAGTTTGTTAGTTATATATTAACAGTGTAAATGGACACAAAAGTCGGTTAAGAGATAATAACAAAAAATCAGTTCCACACTTTCTCTCCCCATGTTTTCTCTGCATCTCGATCTTCTCCATTTGCATTCAATCAATTCTCCAAATCTGTGAGAATTAAAATGGTATCAGAGTATTAATCATGTAAATCTAGGGGTTCTCTTCGCGGATTTAGTTAAAAATCGTGGGATTCACCGAAAATTTAGTTGTTGGTTTGTGCCCTAATTCCGATGGCGGGAGGTATAGTCGAAGAACAGGAATTTGCTAAACAAACAATCTACAGGAATCGATTATGATTGATCACAATCATCCTTTGTATCTGCATCCTTCTGATGGACCGAGTTCCCTCGCATTGGGAATTCAATTGATTGGAATGAAAAATTATACACTTTGGAGCCAAGCTATAGAAGTTTCGTCGCTAACACGAAACAAGCTAGGTTTTGTTGATGGTTCGATCACCAGAGATACCTATGGTACTAGGTTCAATCATCTATGGGGACCATTGCAATGCAATTGTAAAATCATGGTTGATGCACAATGTAGGTCGCGATTTGCTGAGTGGTGTTCTGTTTCGATCTAGTGCTCGAACAATTTGGGAAGACCTTCGTGAGAGGTTTGATAAGGTGAATTCTTCAAGAATGTATTATCTACACAAAGAAATTTTTACTCTAACTCAAGGTACCTCGTCTGTATAAGCATATTATTCGAAGTTAAAGGATTTGTGGAATGAATATGATTCAATCATCCCTGCTCCACCCTGTGACTGTGGAAAAAAAAAATACCTTGCGCATTTACAGTATCAACGTCTTTGACATTTTTTGAAGGGCTTAAATGACGGCTATAGTTAAGCTTGGATCCAGATATTAATGAAAATCAAGGCACCTTCTGTGAATCAGGCATATGCCATAGTTTTACAAGATAAGAGTCAAAAAATAGCTGCTGGTAGTCATCCCGTCTCTTTTGAGTCCATGGAACCAACTGACATGTTTACTTCTAGGAACAATAATCAGAAGCAGAGAACAAATTATAACATTGAGTGTGATTTTGTCACATGAGGGGACACACTAGAGAGAGATGCTATAAACTTATAAAGTGCGACTATTGTAACATGAAAAGTCATCTCAAGGAGAACTGTTATAACATCATAGGTTATCCAGCTCACTTTAAGTCCAAAAAGAAAGGGACTTCTATAATTGGTCATTTGGCTAAAACAGAGCTGCAGTCAGTTCAACCGCCATCAATACCTCAACCTCCTATTTTTACATACAATCAGATTTTGCAAATGCTAAACATGTCATCTTTTTTAGACTCTAGTGCTTATATGGCACGTACTTCTTTTCCTAGTGCGCATATGGCAGTTACTTTTTGTTATGTTCCTACAAAGGAATAAGTTGGATAGTGGATACTGGTGCTACTAATCACATGAATAGTAATAACCAGTTGTTGTTAAATGATATTGAATAAGGAAGTTCAGGACAAGTTCAAATGCCAACTGGAGAGTCTGCTAGGATTACTCATGTTGGGGAATGTGAGTTAACCGGAGGTGAACTACTTAAGGATGTATTATGTGTGCTCCATTTAAATTCAATCTTTTCTCAGCTTCTAAAGTGAAAAAGGATTTGAATTGCTGTGCAACATTCTATCATGACTTCTTTGTGTTACAAGAGCTTTTCAGTGCGAGGTTGAAGGCGATTGGTAGAGAACAAGACGGCTTGTATATGTTGAAATTAGGGTCCAGGGATACTACTCATACTCACAACAAATCTATGGCAGTACAAAAAATTACAACTTCTGAGATTTGGCATAAACGATTAGGACATATTCCCATGGTTGTACTAAGATTTTCTTTTTTCAGAATAAGTCTAGTTTTACTTTGGACAATTGTGATGTGTGTCCACTAGCTAGA